AAGTTTATAAACTTTTGAAATTTTTTCCCCCCCTTTTACTATATTTAAAAAATATAAATATTAAAGTATGAGACAATAATGGAGCCAAATTCCGCCCATACACGTCTCGCTGCTTTTCTATGTAGCTTTAACTATCCGTTCAGGAGGCTGGATCCTAACCCCCCCATCCTGTGATTTGTTGCAGAAGGATGCTACCCCCCCAGCTGAGTGCAGGCAACAGTGAGTCCTTGCCTGGCTGCCATGAGGATCAACTGCACTGTTCTGGCTTCTCAAATTTAAAAAATTAAAAAGTTACTTATCGCCTTACAATGTTTTGTATTTTTCTTGGTAGGGAATTTGAAGAGTTTCCAGATTTTTGTTACAAAACCAGTGGTGATATACTGCGGGCCGTTTGGCTCATTATACATAATATTTTACTAGACCGTTTTCCTCCTCTGTACCATAGTTAGCCTGCAGGAAAACCTCTCCCTCAAACAGCATGATCTTGTTTCTTCACAGCTAAACTAGTTTGAGTTCTTGTGAAGTTTTTTTCTGGATGTTTGCTCTTAGACAACAGCTGCGGTTTAGACGGCAGCATCAGTTCCCCTCCTTCCTATTGTTCCTCGTACCCAAGGTCCAGGTTGGCTGGTTCTGGTTGTCCCAGGGTGGTTTTATTATCGGCGTTTTAGCGTCGGGTGTTCATTCCCAGATCCCGGGCGCTAAAGTCCTCCCGCTCTTTCCGCTCGATACATTCCAGTAAGCAGACCGGCTGTTGAAATGGCCCCAAACCCGAAGCTCGTCCAGTTCAGCTCAGCCTGGTTGATTCTCTAGAACATTCCAGAGATCTGTGGATTGGGGAACGGCTCGGTTCTGCTGGAGGACCAGTTTATGGGGGGGAACCAGTCCTAGGAACCTGGAGCTTTGTGCTCGCTGTGGCGTGGCTGTCGTCTTTTCTATTGCACTTTGTACCAGTGTGTGGTGTCCTGTCAGCGGTTAGCAGCACTTTGTCGCTCTCTGTCTAAAGGGATGATGGTTGAATGCCGCTCTGGTTTATTCTTTGATTTTTACAGGAAGTGGCAAACTTTAGAAGCTTTATCCAAACGTTGGGCAGATGTAGCAAAGGGGACAAGCAGAAAGTGTCTGATTGGCCGAGCCCGTTTATCATGCGCCACCTAAAGCCCAGCGGCTGAAGTCCTTTGTACATTTATTTAACTCACTGTGAACGGGGGAAATCCTGCAGCCGATGACCCTCCTCCATCCCACTTCCTTTATTTTTTATTAACCTAGAACGCCATAGGAAGTACGTCAGAGCAATACTTTAAGCCAGTTAGGGGCTACCAGGAGGAAATCCTAGCCTGCCACTCTCTCCGGTTCTTCAGACGGCAGTGGTGGTTTTGGACCCTGAGTGGGTCCATTATAGAGAGCCAGGGTACCTCTGATACTGCAGGGAGCATTCACATCATATTCACTGGGAGAAGATGCGACTGGGTCTCTGTAGGTCGCTTCTGAGCAGCTGTTGTCAAGGCAAAATGCTATGCTACAAAAATACTAATGTACTCAATACCTGTACCTGTATGTTCCTGAATAAATTGGTTAAACATCTCTCCCTTGTTTTTTGTTTTCTTTTAATTAGCATGTTTACTTAAGCGGTCAATATATTACCTGGAAGTTTCAGCACTATAATGATTTTTAAATTGCTAATGGGAGTGGGGAATTTCTATTTAAATTTTTTTTTCCAAAACTACTTGAATTCAATCAGATGCAAACAGGTTTTCTACAGCAGACATTTTTAATTTAAAAGAAAATCTAAATTAACTATGTAATGAAGCAGCAAATTCTGTCTAAAACTATACATGTATAGAACTAAAGAATAAAATTACTCCTAATGAAAATCATATCTAAACTGGTCGTGTCAACAGGGGAAGCTTGCTTTAGGTTTCAGGCCAATTTAAAATCACATTCCATTTTTATTCACTTTGCATCAAAATCTGGCTCAACTGCTATTAATGTGGCGATTGTCCTTTTATAATATAAATATTGCATTTTAGTTCAGATTTTTCCATAAACGGACTCAAATGCAGTGTTTAATCATCTTTAGTTAAAGTTTTTTTTTTTCCTGGAATGGGCTTTGTATTGTCTTTCTGGTTTTGGTCACAGGAATATCTAATTAGAGGCTGAAAAGATGTTATTTTTGTCAAATTTAAACCTATAAAATTTGAGATAAAATAAACTTACAGAAACCTACACAGTTTTATAAGGGCACTGGGCCCCTGTTGGCTCCAGTCTAGGACCACCCATGGATCATGTGGTTAGATCCATTGATCTCTATTCACTGGATTGCTGACAAACATCTGATTTACTGCTATAACACAGACTGTTTTTGTATGACTGGGTAAAAATTAAGGCATTAAAGTTTTATTAGATGTTATGCACTTATATAATGGATTTATGGAATATAATGGAAGGTAAAAAGCTAATTGAAAAGTTAAAAACTGGAAAAAAAAAAAATTTGGAGTCAGCGAGGGAGCTGGCTCCCTGTGAGTGGAGAAAGCACCCCAGTCCTTTGCTCCCCATCCCCGAAATCGTCCCTCTGCCTGCTCCATCACACTGCCACACATGTAGGTTTTTGGGGAGGGGGTCGTTACTAGAGGGCCCCACCTTCTGATGACGTCACCTACCCTAATTTTATTTTGCATTTTAGACACATCTACAACATTTTCACAACACACACTTATTTTATGGGCCTCACCACGGTCGGCTCCACCCATCCCCTCTTCTATTTAGACATTAAGGGTTCTGGGTTGTCGAATGGAATCTCCCGGAGGGGGGGTGGACTGTGCTGGATACCCCCTTTTGGTACTCCCAGTTTTAATTACATCTGAGAGCAACACACAACACCACATCTGAGCAGGCGCAGGGAGGATCAGGGTCTTCCTACACCCCTGTTCCCCCGGCTGCCACCCGGAGTCTGGGGCCTGGAGGAAGAGCGAGCCGCCTGGTCTGTGGTCTTGGTGGGGGGGCGGCTGCGGGGCCTAGGTGGCCTGCTGGTGGCGGGGTTGTCACTTCTGCTCTCCCCAAAGAAGGTTGGAAGGAGGGGCGTGTAGTGGCTGGTTGAAGTAGTTTGGGGGGGGTTCTGGTTGGGTGGCCTGCGCGGGATGAATGGATGGGTGAAGCAGGAATGAGATAAGCTGGTGTGGCGGTGTTGCCGCTCCCCTCCCCCCCATCCGGATTTTAGGTTCACTTATTGGGTCATCCGATAATCCCGGGACCAACCACCGGTGCTGCCGGGTCCTTGGTCCTGGTATTATTGGATGTGAGTGTTATGTGTGAATGTGTGTCCGCGTTTTCTCTTTTTTTTTCTGTGGTGCGAGAGGGGGCACTAGGGTGGGAAGGTGTGATTGAGACTGAGTTTCTTTTTTTTTTTTTTTTTCTTCCAAATACATCTCAAGTCTCCGCAAAGTGCGGAGCCCATTCCCCCCGTTCTCCCTCCGCTGGCCGGCGTTGGGGCTCGCCGGCGCACTGGTGGAGCTCGAGGTTTGGGGGTGGATGCCCGGGTGGCTGCTTGCTCATTCATGGCGGCCTTGCTGGGGCTCCTATCTGGGGGTCGGGTGCCCCTGGGGCTTCGGATCTCTGGGGCCCAAGGCCGGATTCACTTCAGGGTGGCTGGCTGCCGGCGGAGCCTGCAGACTTGTCCCCGCGGCTCCCCGGGGCACCGGCATTGCGTTGGATTGGGGATTTCCTCGGGGCTGTCTCTCCTCCCCCCTTGGTGGGGGTCTGATTTCCTCAGCTGGCCCCTCCTTGGTGCCTTCGCTCTGATTGTGCTCTGATTGTGGTGATTGTTTTTAACGTATCAGTGTGAAAATAATCCAGATTAGGACTGGTATGGATGTAAACAGCATGTTTTAGAGTAGACTAAAAGGACTAAAAGGATTATTTTCCTCCAAGAAGGGTTTCTATGAAAATTAAAAGGCAGGCAATGGCGTACTGGATTACCCATAATTCTAAGTCATATTATAAAAAATAAAATACTCAAATACATCGTTCTTTTAAGATCTTTATTGCGGTTTGAAACATATTATATGAGTGTATTTTTTACCAACTGTTTAATGAACTATACACAGTTATTAAGATAGTAATTAAAAGTACCACTGTCTGCTTTGCTATTGGTGTCGTGTTTAAACGGCTCACCATCCTTTGTCTGCCATGTGTTGGGGTATAAATACAGTCCGGTCATTCAAACTAGTATCAGGTGGGTTTAAGCAGAATTTTTCGCACCATTGCATCTGCAAAGAGACGTCCTAGTCTACATTTGCATAGGGGGCCCCCCAGGTGTCAGTGATGGGGCCCCAAAGCAACTGCAGTCTCTGCTCACCAGTATTTACGCCATTGGGCCCCCCCTATTAAAATTCTCTGGCTACGCCTCTGCTCATAGGTTCCACCAGAGGGCGCTGTAGTGCTTTTAAACACATGAGTGTCAGAGTGAGGTTTACATTGGAAATGAAATAAGACAGTAAACATCAAATATATAGTAATAAAAAGCGATCAGAGAGCCTGTGGTGATTGTTTTAAACGTATCAGTGAGAAAATAATCCAGATTAGGATTATTATGGATGTAAACAGCGCGTTTTAGAGTAGGCAACTCGATTTAAAGCTCCAAGAAGGTGTTTCTATGAAAGTTAAACATCCCCGCTGCGATGATGGAGGTTTGTCTTTATAGTATTACAGGGAGCATCAGTGACCGGGCTTCCATTACTCTACTCAGGGGGGCGGTGCACTTCTCCAGACCCCTCCCGCCCTCTAAAGCCGCTCCGCAAACAGCGACCAGCAGCAGTCCGGAGCCAGCTGCCTCCAATGCCCGCAGCCTCTCCGGGACACAGCGCCACCGATCAAGCGTGTTGAGGCTGGAAGTGGGAGGAAGCATGCTGGAAAACGGCAGGAAGGTTTATAAGGAGGGTCTGCTGGAGAAGCGGAGCGACGGGCTGCTGCAGCTCTGGAAGAAGAAGCGCTGCGTCCTGACGGAGGACGCCGTGCTGCTGCTGCCGCCCAAGCAGCACGATCACCCGCAGCAGCAGCACGGAGGGGAGCCGGGCAGAGTCAAGGAGCTCCACTTCGCCAACATGAAGACGGTGGACTGCGTGGAGCGGAAGGGAAAGTACGTGTACTTCACCGTGGTCATGGCGGAGGGGAAGGAGATCGACTTCAGGTGCCCGCAGGACGAGGGCTGGAACGCGGAGATCACCCTGCAGATGGTCCAGTACAAGAACCGGCAGGCGATCCTGGCTGTCAAGTCCACCCGGCAGAAGCAGCAGCTGCTGGTGGTGCAGATGCCCGGACACAAGAGCGTCCGGAGCGCGCCGAGCGTGGCGTGACGCGCGGGGCGCCCCGCAGACACCCGCGCGCCTTCAGCGGTAAGATAAGACACAGATTTAATGATGAACTTCTGAAATAAAACATGAAGCAATCAGCTGACATATAGTGAATAAGTTGAGTTAAATTCAGAAACATGAGCTCCTGATGTTTTGCTGCATAGGACAACTTCCAAATTTACACCATGAGGTGGTGCAGCTTTTTCTGCTCCCCTCTCAGATTTCCACACACGTGGATCACTGTGGGAGCAGCTTCCAGCGCCACATCCATGTGTGAACCCATTCAAACATAAACCTTATTATAGGAACCACATCTGTTCCTGCAGAGGTGGTTTCTGTCTTTACCAGGGGCGACCTAAAGGTGGACGGGGCCCTGAGCAGGAGTTAATTTGTGGTGCCCACTGGCTTATTGTTTGGAGATGTGGCATTTAAGGAAAGTTGTAGAAGCATTAATAGTGATCTAAAGGTGATTTCCATGAAGATACCAGCTTGCTATACTCGTGAAATATGCAGCATTTATAATTTTTAATAAAATACAAGATTATTTGGCTTTTATTTTAGGGCTGGGCGATGAGGCTTGAAAATAAAATCTCTGATGTACTTATTGTTTATCCTATTAAATAAATTTCTTTAGAAGTTAGTTTCATTAGAAAAAAATGCAAAAATTTTTTTTTATTCATCAAATCATTGAGGTGACCTTAATTTAAAGGGCAACCAAAATCAAGCTGTGAAAACTGCTTTAAAAGCATTAAATGTAAACTAGTGCTACAGTATCACACAGTGCACTAGTTTATAGGGTTTAAGGAGACATCTGAGAACAAAAAGTGTTGAACTGAGTGTCTCTGAGTGTCTATGGAAGCTCAAAGAGTGGATTGATGGGGAAAAAACTTGATTTTTTTTTTCTTTCCCTCAAAAATTAAAACTTTATCACAAAATAAAATGAAATTAAACAGGCTCATCACTAAACTTTTTGGCAGTCACACAGATTATATTAAAACAGAATAACTATGTTCTTTCATCTAATGCTTCTCACCTCTTAATGACATAAAACATAAAAGTTACTCCAGCCTCCATGCACTACAATCATAGCAAAGCTTTTGCCAATCAGCGGCTCCTCCCTCCCCCTACTCATTCGCTGTGCAGCCCCCACGCTGCTGAATGGAGTCTCTTTGATGGAGGTTTAGGGAATAACTAAACGCTCCGCCTTTGAGATGGCCTTCCCTCCACCTGCTGGAACAGGAAGCTGTCGTCACTTTGGTAGCGTCTCTATCAGCGACTGTCACTATGATACACTGGCTGCTGTAGAACGAACGCTTAAAGGTATAGTGGAGGATGTTCTTTTTCCGGGTGGATCATCAAAATAAGTGGTCCTCCTAATTGTCAATCATTCTGGTGAAATGTTTACACAAGGCGCTCTCGTCCCCAATTTCACTTGCCAGTGGTAAGGAAGAAGGAGGAAGAGACAGAAGGATGACTTTAAATGGAAAACTCATTTATAACCCAGATGCTAAAAAGAAAAATACTTGCATGATTTTAATGCAGGGTTAAAGCACATGCTTTTGGACTTTGTCGAACTTGTCTGCTTTCCTAAAAAGCTCTGTAGGCAGGTCCGCTGTCTGCCTCATTCTCATCAGGTCTCTGCAGCCAGAGTTTACAGCTGGTCTGAGAGGCAGAGAGCAGAGAAAGAGAACGAACCTTTAGATCCTTTAACAAGGATCATGAAAATTATGAATTCAGAAGAAATCATATAAAAACAAAATATATAAAAATGGTCCCATGTTCATCCTATATTTCCTGTGTTAATTAAAAATTATTTACTCTCCATAGCAGCATCTGTTAATTTTTTATTTTTTGAGGGTTTTTTTGGCACTAGTGGCTCGCTTTTTCGACAGTAGAATGACAAGAAAGGGCGTATGAAAGAGGGGGAGAGACATGTGGCAAAGGATTCGAACCCGGGTCAGCCGCGTCGCTAACCGCTGCTACACCTGCTCGCCCCGCGTCTGTAAATTTTAATCGAAATGTAGAAGTTGTACAGACTTTGACGATGTTTTAAAAGAGCTGTTTCTATCCTATTCAATACAGCTGTTTTTAACATTGTGATAAGTTGTTAAAACATTTGCAATTCTAACAAAATAATTTATTTAGACTATGTGAAATAATATTAGTGTATAAAGTTTTTATTTACTTGTGCGCAACGCATGGGCTGAAGTTACGTCTCATCCTCCATGCTAACAATAATTTGGTGCTGCATGAGTGGGAAACCGATCTTTACGCGCCGTAAAAAGCCTTTTTAAGTAATAACCGTAAGTATTTGGTTTCAGATGGGACGTAATTTGGCCAACGCTTCACGGGTAAAATAAAAGTAAAAACTAGATTTTGCGGGAAAAAAAAAATAACGACAAAACTAACTGAAATTTTGATAGAAGAAAGTGCTTCATTTTTGTTTGTGTATTTATCAAAATGCATTAAAGGGATAGTACACCCAAAACATGATTAGCCTTCATTTTCTACTCACCCCCATGCTGAACAACACTCTGGAGTACTTTTT